GACAGCCTTTTTGACAACTGGTGCTGGAGCATGGCTAAAAATGATCCTCAACCTACATCTCACACCTTACATAAAACTTAATTCAAAATGGGTCAATGGGCTTAAATGTAAAACATAGAGTGGAAAACTTTTACAAGAAAAAATAAGAGAATACTTTTGGGATCTAGGGTTAGGTAAATAATTCTTAGACTTAATAAAAGTACAATCCATAAGAGGAAAAATGGGGAAAAAAATGATTTTATAAAAATTAAAAATGTTTGCTCTGCCAAGGGTTCTATTAAGAAGGAAAAAAAAACTACTAAGAGAAAACATTTGCAAATCACATATCAAGGAAGGACTAGTATTTAGAATATATTAAAAATAAACCTCTAAAACCAACAATTTAAAAAATCCAGTTAGGAAATGCACAACAGACTTTCACTAAAGAGAATATACAGATGGCAAATAAACCCATGAAAAGATGTTTAACATCATTAGCCATCATGGAAAAACAAGTTAAAACCACAATAAATCACTACATACCTATCAGAATGCCTAAATAAAAGATAGGAACACCAAATGCTGGTGAGGATGTGGAGAACCTGATCTCTCATACATTGCTGGTGGGAATGGAAAATGGGCAAAAATGCTGGGAAACAATTTAGCAGTTTCTTATAAATCTTTAAACCCAGATACTAGGGGACCCAGCAACTGTACTCCTGGGAATTTATCCCAAAAAACTTAAGTCTTATGTGTTCATTATTTTACATCACATGTTACTGTACATCAATGTTTATAGCAGCTTTATTCATAATAGCCCAACAATGGAAACAACCTAGATGTCCTTCAAACAAAGTGTGATTCATCCATACCATAGAATACTACTCAGCAATTAAAAAGAACAAACTAATGACACATGCAACAACCTAGATAAATCTGGGAATTTTGCTGAGTGAAAAAAGTCCAATCCCAAAAGGTTAAAATACTGTGTGGTTCTTTAAATAACAGTCACGAAATGACAAAATTATAGAAATGAAGAACAAATTAGCGGTTGTTGGAGATTAAGAAGGAGGTGGAGTGGAAATGGGAGTGGGGTATGAGTATTAAAAGGGATCCCTCTGGTGTGGGAAGTTCTCTAAACAATCAATGTCAGTGTCCTGGGTGTGGGCTTTGTACAATGGTTCTGCAAATATTATTATTGAATAAAGCTGAATAAAGGGTACAGGCATCTCTATTGTATGTGAATCTACAATTATCTCAAAATGAAAAGTTTAATTAGAAAATAAAGGTAGCCTTACTACTGAACTGCAAAATAAGTGCAATTGACAAGAAATCCAACGCCAATTAAATGAAGCGCTTTCTTCAGCACAAGTTTAATTCTGAAGATTACTACGAACCAAAGTTTACAAAACACATTTTTCTCACCCACACATGCACACACACACGGCCACTGTAACAAGGCAGTTCCGATAGAAAAACCGAGACTTCTCTAAGTACATCACAGAGTAGAAGGAGCCCTGGCGGGATTAGGGTTGTCCGGGCGCCACCACAGAACCGCGGTGTAGCGGGGACACATCACCCCGCCTCTCAGGCTGCAATCCGTAAGCTGTTCCTACAGCGGCGCCTTCCGACTCAAGAGACTGCTGAGACCAGCTCTCAGACTTTTTGGTCTCAGGGCCCCCGGGGAGCTTTTGTTTGCATGGATTACAACCATTGATATTTGTAGTATTAGAAATTAAAATTAAAATTTACAAGACAAGTGTGCACAGAGACACATTCCATCGGCCCTCCGGACGGTGAGGTCCACATCATGCAGCCTCTGAAAAACAACCAACTCACAAGAAAACAAGCGTGGAAAAGGCAAATAACAGCTTGGTATTGTTAGGAAAATAACTGTGACCACACGCTGAGGACCGCCGGCTTCAAATGAGGTAAAAAGATACAACTGGTTTGAAAGGTATAAAACAGCGGACAGCTCAGTCACCCGGCTTTTAAAGCACGAGGGTGCCAAGGTGCCCCCCAAAAGAGGGTGGGGGAATCGAATTTTAGCGGAGGGCGAGGAGGAGGAGCGCGGGCCGGACCCCGAGGGTCGGGTCAGGGAAAGGCCGCGACTCCAGAAGGTCGCTACCGTTGTAGCCATCGGCTCGGTGCCCAAAACCGTTACAAACACACGGACCCACGATCACTGTTTCCCATTTAACTTTTGGCGAAGACGGGAAGCCGCGCAAAAACTTGAGCCGCTCCCGCCCGGCGCGGAGAGCTGGGGGACCTCGCGCGCCGGGTGCGGGCCGCCCGCCGACGCCCGTGGACAGAGGGGAGAGAGAATCCCGTTCCCCCCAGAAGGGGGACCGCGGAGCCCGCAAGGACCTCCGAGGACCGGACCCGCCACCGCCCTACCGGACGCCGCGGGAGGAAGTTACGTTGGGACCCCGGGAACGGCGGGGCGGAGACCCTGGGAGCCCGGCCCTAGGGGGGTCGCCTGGACTCACCAGGTGCCGCGCCTCCTCAGAGCTCATGGTTCCGGCGGGAGCTGGGCGAAGTGAGCCAAGGGCGGCCGGAGCGGCGGTCTCGTCACCGCCCGAGCAGCGCGTCGGCGGAGGGAGCCGGGGGCCGGGAAGGGCTCGGGATGCGGGGCGCGGGCCGGAGCCGGCGCGATGGGCAGGGGCGGGGCAAAGACGGCTGCCTCAGTGACGCGGGCCGGAGCGAGCCTCTCACAGGGGTGTCCCACGACGTGTCGCCGGACGAGTCAGTGCGGGGCAGTGGCTGCAGGACCTGGGCCGGGAGGGAGAGGGGATGCGGGCAGGACTACTCAGCTGGCGGCGGCTGGAGGCACTCCCGCGCGAGGGCCGGAAGTGGGCGGCCCGGGGCCGTGTCCGCGGGCGGTCGGCGGGAGCCGAGATTGCGGCCGCACGGGACCGGAAGTGGGCGGGGCGGGGCGGGGCCGGCGGAGGCGTGTTTGCGCGGGGCGCGGCCCTGTGAGCTAGTGGCAGTGTCTCCGGCCGCGGACCAGAGGTTTGGAGTTCGCGGAGCCCGCACCTGGGAGCGCACCGCGATGGGGCCGGGCTGAGCCTCCCAACGCCTAGCGAGCAGCGCGACCCCGGATGGAGGACCCGGCGGAGCTCGGCCCCGAGGCGGTGCTGCGCTTCCTCGCGGAGCGCGGGGCCGGGCCCGGCACGCCGAGCTGGTGCAGCACTTCAGGGGTGCTCTGGGCGGCGAGCCCGAGCGGCGCGCCCACTTCAAGGAGCTGGTCAATGCCGTGGCCACTGTGCGCACCGACCCCGCCGACGGCTCCAAGTACGTGCACCTCAAAAGGAGGTTCTGCGAAGGCCCACAGTCACCCAAGGCCGCGCCCCCTCGGGACTTACCCCGCATCTCGGTGACCGCAGAGCCCGAGCCCCATGGCGGCGGTGACCCGGAGGGGTCCGACGACCCGGCCAAGTACTGGGAGAGCGGCTTGTGCCCCGAGGCAGCGACCCCGGGTCCGGGCCGTGAACCCGGCGATGGAGAGTCTTCCGCCGCCGCGCTTGGGCTGCCCAGCCTGACCGGCGACGGCCGGAGCGGGCCGTCCCTGAACGGCGGGGCCAGGAGAAAGAACTCGCGGCGCGGCGCGCAGCCTCCGGCCCGAGCACCAACCCCCGAGCCCAGCGAGGACCTGGAACCCCAGCCCCAGGGCTGCGAGGAGGCGGACGGAGGGAGCTCTCCCGGGGGAACCACCACCCCAAGGTCGACTCGCCAGAACCTCCGGGACCTTGTGATGGGCAGCTCCCCGCAGCTGAAGAGGAGCGTCTGCTTGGGGGGCAGCAGCACCGGGGGCTGCTCTGGGGGAGGACGCGGCAAAGGTGGGGGTGACTCGGACAGCGCTTCCGTTGCCTCGTCGTCCGCGGAGGAGGAGATCAGCAGCGGGGCCTCGGTGACGCTGGACCCTTTGGAACACGCCTGGATGCTCTCGGCCTCGGACGGCAAGTGGGACAGCCTGGAGGCGCTGCTCATCTGTGAGCCTGGCCTGCTGACCAAGCGGGACTTCATCACCGGCTTCACTTGCCTGCACTGGGCTGCCAAGCACGGCCGGCAGGAGCTCCTGGCCATGCTAGTCAACTTCGCCAACAAACACCAGCTGCCAGTGAACATCAACGCCAGGACGAGCGGAGGCTACACCGCCCTGCACTTGGCAGCCATGCACGGGCACGTGGAGGTGGTGAAGTTGCTGGTGGGGGCCTACGACGCAGACGTGGACGTCAGGGACTACAGTGGGAAGAAGGCCTCGCAGTACCTGAGTCAGAGCATCGCCGAGGAGATCAAGAACCTGGTGGGAGCCCTGGACGAGGACGACGGTGAAAGTGCCTCAGGCAGCGGGGGTGGGCGCTGGAGACTTTCAAAAGTGCTCCCTTCCCACCTCATCACCTACAAACTCTCGCACGTCCTGGAGGATGGAGGGGATCATCACCATCACCACCACCACCACCACCTGGCTGAGGGATGGGCAGGAGGCAAAGCAAAGGACCCAGGTCGCAAAGCCTCAGGCAGCTCTAGTGGGCGAATAAAACCCAGACTCAACAAAATCCACTTCAAAACCCAGATCATCCACACCACACCCTTTTTCAGAGACCCGGAGCAGGCCCTGGAAGAGGGGGAGCAGGAAGAAGAGGATCGATCTCTTAAAGGCCACTTACCCTCATTCAAATTGAGACCGAAGTCCAATGTATTTGGGTAAAAATAATTTTTGTAGAAAATTCTAAGGGTTATTTGTCATCCGAAATACAATACTAGAGGTAGGCAAGTGAGACCAGAAAAGATTTAGGCAAAATTATGCATTCTTACTTTGGGGGGTTGGAGTGGGGGAGGGCGGAAGTGGGGGGGGGGAGTTTCCCCTAGTATTCTGAGTGAGGTGGCTTTCCAAGTGATTCATCAAACCTTGCCCTAGGCCTCTTTTCTCCATGCCATTCCTCTGCCCTGGAGTCCCTGTTTGTAAAGACTAGAGATGTATCTAAATTGGGGGTACAGAATTGATGACTGAGGGTTTCTTTGATTTAACCATTATTGGATGCCATGCTAAGTGAGGAATATTGCTCGTTTATGATTGTTAAAAGTGGTTACTCTTCCAAAAACAAGATAGGCAAATTGTAATGAAATTGGTAACATTTGTTAAGTGTGAACGAAAACTAATTGCATTTGCTTTTTAAGATTTTGCGAAGGTCAGGTAAGAGTTGAAATGCAAAAATTCTAATTAGTAAATGAATAAAAATGGGAATCCTGTTGGTATCCTACTGTATTGTAAGTGTTCAGCTGTTTATAAAAAGCAATCTCAGCTTTAATCACTCAACTAAAGAAATAAGCAACATTCACTTTGAGTTAATCTGTAGTATGCTTTCCTCTTAACTATCATACTGCACTCAGTATTAAGGTGCGTTATTAATAACTACACAAACTTTTATTTAAAGAAAATACCTTGAACAACCTGTGTTACTTTAAAGTAAAATATTACGTGTGGTTCTGATTCTCACTAACTTGTTTTGCTATTCTAAAAGTCTAAATTTGCTGAAGTTTTTATTCTGGGGTTATATAACCATTCTTTCTATTTGACATCACCCTAGTTGATGGTGCTTAGACTTGAATTGCCTACAGAACTGTTTCTGGTTTAGATGATTAGCAAAAATTGGCATAAGTGTATGTGAGCCTATGCTTCTCTCAAGTAATAATTAAATCAACCTAAGGTACACTTTTTGTTTTACTAATAAAACATGCTCATAGTCTATACTTTGTAGCAATATTTTGCAAATATTTAAAATACTAAATCCTCTCAATTTTTCATGGTTTCCTTGAATCTAAATAGACATACAGTGAAGTTAATGAGAAGCTGGACAGTAACTCTACCCAGTTAAGAATAGCACTTTATAAAAGGGAAAAGAGAAGAGATTGTACTATTTCTATATTTAAATGCCGCTGGCTATTGAATTTCTTTACATGTAAGTGAAAAATACCAGTCATTAAAATTAAAGACTTACACATGATTGTTAATTACATTCCATTCAAATACATTAGTGTGAATATTTTATAATTGTAAAATTTAACTCACAAGCATATTAAATCTATTTGTAACAATATTCAAAACAACTTTTCTGGGAGACTAATTCCACAAGTCGTCCTTTAGTCTTTTTGGTCTCATTATTGATGAAACAAGTACCTGCAGCCTATAGAGATTAAGAGGTGAGTTGGCGTGCAGAGTAATGAACCAATATATTAATTGTATACCACTGCAATCTTTAGAGAGGTCTTAGATCTTTAATTTCCCCAAGTCATAGAAATTTGTAACAAGTTTATCACACATCTCTAGAGTGAATCTGTTTAAAGATTAATGAAAAATATTCACATAAAATATATAAACTATTATCCATTTATGTGCCTTTATTTTTATTTTAGGATTATGGAAATGGGGGCCATGTACATTTGAGAAGCACTTTTTCCACACATGTGGGTGAAAATCTAATTTTGTATAAATTAAAAGTAGAATCCTTGAAGGTGAAAGCTACTATTTGCTCTGAATCTGGTACACATTACCTGTATCTAGTGCAGAATAAGCTATAACTTCCCACTGAAGAATCTTATCTTTCATTGACATGTAAAGCTAAAGTAAACTATAAAGAGTATACACTTCAGAACCACCTAAACATTCTATTAAACAGTCAGTATTAAGCTCTTAAATGTGTATGTTACTAATTAATTGCACAAAAATCTGTAATTTGCTAGATCTTTAGAAATTGAGCTAATAATTCATTTAACTTTCTTTTCACACTAGAGATTTTAACTTTTCTGATAAAATTTACTTTAAATTCTCAAAAATCATTCCTGAGGGAAACTACTTGTACATTCCTTGTCACAATGTGCTCATATAGCATTTTCAGCTATTTAACTCTAATTCCTCTTATTTTTCACTTTCCAATTTGAGATTATAAAAAGCAAATTATTTGTGTAATTTGATATTTGTGAAGTTGTATTTACCATTAATGGAAATTATGTCAGTTACTTAGATGTTTGTTGATATGAAACTGTATAGTTAGGAAACTCAAGAATGTCCATGTGTTTTTTAAAGGTACATTTGAAACTAATGAATGTATGTCATAGTTCTCTTCACATTTATGGTATATAAAATGCAACCAGCTAATATAACTTGAAAATCTGGTACTATTTTATTCATACCTGAAATCTGGGTGTCCAGGATGCCTTGTCTTTTATTTTTTAAATAAATGAAACTTTGGGAGCTTAGAATGTAAAATTTGTAGTTTGTTTTGTCAAAAATAAAAGGTTCATACTAGATTTTTTTCTCTGAATTGTCTAAATATCTCTAGTCCTTTATCATGTTTTATGGTTCATACAATGCGTTTTGACGTTTCAGTTTATTTGGTCTCTTCCTTTCCCTTGAAGTTATTGATCATATATCCCTAATCCTATATAATAAAAGCCCAGCGACCGAAACAGCGGAACGACCAGAATGACCAGAGACCAGAATGACCGTGGCCCCTCTCCTTAGCGGGGACCCCCACCCCGATCTGGGGCCCCCAAGGCAGGCCAGCCGGCGCCCACCCATGCACTGGGCCTCTATCCCATATAATAAAAGGGTAATGTGCAAATTGACCCTAACGGCAGAATGACCACTCAACCAGTCACTATGAGGTGCACTGACCACCTCTCAGTCCCTTTCCCTGGCCGAATGGGGAACTGGGGATGGGTGGTTGGGGATGTGGATGGCACCAGGCCAAGGCCCCCGCCCCGCCAGTCACCCCACACACAGAGGGCAACCTGCGGCAGGGGCAGGGCCAGCGAGCGGGCGGGAACAGCCAACCTCTCCGTCCCTTCCCCCGGCCATCAGGCTTCAATCACCTGATGGTGAAAGGGGAACTGGGGTTGGGGGCAGGGCTGGCTGCAAGCAGCCGGGGATGATGGTCCTAATCACAGGCCAAGCCTAGGGACTGTACCCATGCATGAATTTCGTGCACTGGGCCTCTACATGTAAGGAATAAAGGTTGATGGCTGTTCAGGGTCATGAAGTAAATGGCAGTAAGATCTTAAGATTGGGTGTTTTTTCACATTTTTTCTACACTTCAAATGGCAAAATTTTGACAGTGATGGATGAGTCAACTTACAGAGAAAGTATTACCTCTACTACTACCTTAAAAAAAATAAAGCCTGTGGCTCCTGCACATACCACCTACCTACCATGAATGCTCCCACCCAGACCAAACCTTCAGAAAGGTATGGAGAATACCTTTTTCTATTTTCTTCAGTATCCATCAATAGTATTGGACATTAATGAATTCAATTCCTCCCCAGCCTGCCTTTGATCTTTATTTTAACAAGGTTGGCATCTATCAGATGACAGAGGGATATAGGACTCAGTATAATTGTCCGCCCTTGTTTCCTCTTGGAAGATCCTGTTATGATTGGTGCTTGGTTTTTCTGTTATTGCTGTTGATTTATGACAACTTTTTTCACTATACCTGAAGTACTAGATAAATCTAGTTTCTGTTTCTAAAATGACTTTTTTTCCTTAGAAATATGTATCTGGAAAGGATTCATTGAGCAATCCATTTGAACATATCTTTGTAATTTTTCCTAGTGGAAAATTATTTTTTTATTTTGCTAAATAATGGCATTATTTAGAGCTTCTTGCAAGTTAATCTTAAAAGTGAATACTCTGCAAACCATTGTTCCTTCAATGATGAGTCAAGTTTTCATGAAATACTTAATATTAGAGGACTGGAAGATGAAACTTGTGAACTAATTTTTCAAGACATAGCAGTAGAGCTGTTTGTGTTACTATCCACTTTTTTTTCCTCTAAAGAACATTACTTTCATGTTATCATACTCTTTTTTCAATCTTCTCTTTTAGATATCAGTTTCATCTCAGGAACTGGCTTCCCCATTCAGTTATCTATTACTCCACATTTATTGATGAATATGTGACAAGTGCTGCCACCCTTCCACAATGCCTGGCATCTTAAAGGTACTCAATAAGTATTTCTTTCCTTTTAATGGAAAACACTAAAAAAAACATTTTGTAATGTTACATCATATGGATAATTTCAACAATGTGCTTTCATACCAAGTGAATTAGAGGTATTATTCATACAAATGGCTCTAAATGCCAGACAACCACTTTATCTGCAACTTAGTCAAAAGAACAATCTATTCTAATCCTGGAGGTAAAATCAGCTTTATTGGAATTTTACTTTGTGAGCAATTTAAGAAATTTTTTAAAATATATTTTTTATTGATTTCAGAGAGGAAGGGAGAGCTAGAGAAAGATAGAAACATCAATGATGAGAGAGAATCATTGATTGGTTGCCTCCTTCATGCCCCCACTGGGGATTGAGCCTGCAACCCAGGCATGTGCCCTTGACTGGAATCGAACCCAGGACCCTTCAGTCTGCAGGCCAACGCTCTATCCACTGAGCCAAACCAGCTAGGGCAATTTAAGAGATTTTTAAGAGTAAAATTGATATAAAAAAGTTTTACCTTACAAGTTGACTCAAGTACATAATCCCTAGGAGAATCTTTTAACTCTATAGTCTTCTTATTTTTCAATTTCCAAATTGAGATTATAAAAGTCAATTTGTGGAGTTGTATTTATCATTAATTGAAGTTATGTCAGTTATTTAGATGTTTGTTTATATGAAACTATGATTAGAAAACTCACGTTTCCTGGCTTTAAATATTTTATTGTCAGTATTCAAAAGACTGCTTATTTTGTGAAGAGACGATGTTTAGTTTTGCCTAGAGGGCTTTCTAATAGTCATTTAAAGATTGCCATGCCCCGGTGAGGTTGAAACGGCCCCGGTGAGGTCGGGACGGCCCCGGTGAGGTTGAAACGCCCCGGTGAGGTCAGGACGGCCCCGGTGAGGCTGTAACGGCCCTGGTGAGGCTCAGGCGGCCCTGGTGAGGTTGAGACTACTCCAGTGAGGTTGGGACAGATAATGGAGACCAGTATAGACTGATGAACAGGGGTAGATACAGAGGCAGAGCAACATTGAACAGACTGTCAAACTACAGTGGGAAGCCTGGGGAGGGTTTGGGGGGGATTAAGAGATCAACCGAAGGACTTATATGCATGCATATAAGATTAACCAATGGACACAAGACACGGGGGCAGGGGGCTGTGGGTAGGGGCCGGGGGAATGTCAAGGGGGGGAAAAAAGGAGACATATGTAATACTCTTTGTAATACTTTAAGAAATAAAATTATTTTTTAAAAAAATAAAAAAAATAAAAAATAAATAAAGATTGCCATGGACTGTCCCATGAAGTGGAACACTCAACCTTTGGAAAGAATTGGTCAGAGGTTATGTGAGCATGTGAAAAGTTAAAATCGATCATTTAAAGCATCCCTGTGACTGATTGTGTCTCAAGAAACTTTGCTCTAGGTCATATCCATACTGACCAACGGTTTAGCCAAAACTGGCCTGACTGAGAATGAATTTAACAAGAGAAATAGGGTCATTTAAGTTTTTGTGTTTTGTTTTTTTAAACACAATTTTATGCTGTTCTGATCAGAGAACCTGGAAATGCCCCCTTTGAATACTCTTCTGGGTCTCTAAGAAACATTGAGTTTAATAGTACAAATATAATTGATTATTCTTGAAATTTGTCCAGAATTGTCTGATATTGACAAATGTGATCTTCAAGCTTTGTTTAGTCTGTTTTTGGGCTGTTATAACAGAATAATAGACTAGGTGACTTATAAACAATAGAAACCGATTTTGCAGTTACGGAGGCTGAGAAGTCCAAGGTCAAGGAACTGACAGATTCAGTCTCTGATATGAGCTTGCTTCGTGGTTCATAGGCATTCGTCTATTTGAAACCAGACAATCAATGGGTCTAGGCTGCCTATCACTACTTGAGCCAATTCAGCAGAGACAGGGTTGAAGCCTATGTGAGTGTTTATTCTAATACTGCTAGCAGTATGGGAGAGCAGCAGGTCATCCACAAAAATCTGCTCTGCAGACCCCATAAACCAGGTGTTTATATAGGGTAGGACAATGATTACATGGGGAAGTTGGCAATGCAGGCTGAGTGGGACTCCATTGTTTGGGCAACAAGGTTGTTAATCTTTCCATGATAATAGGCAGTTCCTGAATAAGATTGGACCACATTCCAAGGTTGATTCCTAGGTCCAAGGTTGACTCCCAGGTCCTGGCAGTGTACAACTCCCAGCCAGGTCAGAATATCCTTTCTTTAACCAACACAAGGTAATCATGGTTAACAGAGCATGAGCATCATTAATATTTCCCATAACCATAGCTATTCCCCAATATTCTATTTTTGCCCCTAACATATTTTCTGTGTCCTCACATGGCAGAAGGGAGTTCTCTGGGATCTCTCTCTCTCTCTCTTTTAGTTTAAATCTTTATTGTTGAAAGTTTACATATATCTGAGGTCTTTTTTATTAAGGGCAATACCTTCATGATCTAATCACCTCCAAAGGTCCTACCTCCTAATCCCATCACATTGGGGATTAGATTTCAACATATGAATTTGGGGGTACAAGCATTCAGTGTGGATGAAAAGGGGCCACATGCTAACCTGACAAGTTCAGGAAAGGCCTGTATAGTGACCTTGAAATCCCAGGGACCTAAAGTAACCACAAAGGATGATCTGAAATTAAAACTTTCTCTTCTTTTTTTTTTTTTAAAAAAAAAAGCAGTTTATGGCAGTTTATGTCCTAGGCTAGAATCTTCCCTGACAAAAGTCAATCTTTACCTTAAGTAAGCCTGTCTCTTGTCTTTTGCATCTATGATAACATACCTTGGGAATGTCAGGATACCTCAGGGCACAACCAATGCACCAAAGCAGAGACTACAAATCCTCTTGTTGTTTTTATCATATTTATCATATTAATTGTTGACTGTTAACTATTCTGTACTGACCTATGTTAAAGATGGATCATTTTACTTATTATCCAATCCCAGTGGTTTCCCCCACTTTGCTTTCTCCAGCCTCCCTAACCTACCACCAATGACTTTCAAGTAACCCACTTATGTCTTCTCTTTTGAGTGTAATGTATAAAATAAGGTGCAAAACTGCCATTCCCTGGAGCATTATCTCAGAGATTTTGCTTCTGGCAATTGTCACAGTTTTGTGACAGGCACCTTTCACAGACTCCAGAGAGGTGTTATCAGACAGCCAACCACCCCCCCCCGCCCCCCCCCCCCCCGAGTCAGAGGGAGAGGGCTGTCCCCCACCTTCATTCTTCTCTTCTCATATAAATGAATTTAAATGAGAGACTTCAGACTATTGTGTTGTGATAAAGCCAATTTATTAAAAAAATTAAAGCATGCACTTACTTCTTTAGTAAGGTAAGCAAATCTATACATCTGGTTTATGAAGTGCAAATGGGCCCTCAGTTAATCTGAAGAGCAAGTGGGGTGCTGGGTTTCTGCCTTCTATACCCTCTTATCTATAAGTTTTTTTAAATTCCTCTGCTTAGATATCTTGGTACAGATTAACTCTGAAGTTCCCCCCTTTTCCTTGTTATGGCTTTTTCCACAATTATGAGAAGCACCTGGAAACTCTATCTTGACCAGTCAAAGACTGCTGGCTTCACTGAACAGTAGGGCATTCTTCTTTCCCCCTCTAACCTCCATTCTGCTGTCTTTTAGTAATTTCAGGGTGATTTAGCTATGTATTTTCTAGTTGCATTAAGATTCCCCCTCCTCTCCTGCGTTCTTTTGTGAGAAGGAGAGGTTTTAACCTTTTGTTCTCAAGATAAGGTCCTGCTACAAGCTACCTGCATAGCTTTTTGGCTTTAATTTTCCTGCCTCAGTTTCCCTATTCCAATTTATTAGAAAGAAGGTGATCACCAGAGTTAAGGGTCCTGTTAGAACACAAAGGATACTCAGGAGTCAGACAGCAAGGCAATATCTTTACCTCTGCAAGAGGGTGTGCAACCAACAAAGAGTCTGGTAAGCAAGCACATGGAGCAGGAAGTCCGCTCGGATTTTATTCCTGATGCAGTCTGCCCCTCATGCTAATTGGTTAAGGCTCAATTTCACTTTCTTGCATGATCAGCTAATTCAAAGAACAGGGAGGGGTTGAAATTTAAGAAACCAAAACTGCCCTCACCGGTTTGGCTCAGTGGATAGAGCGTCGGCCTTCAGACTGAAGGGTCCCAGGTTCGATTCCGGTCGGGGGCATGTACCTTGGTTGCGGGCACATTCCCAGTGGGGGGTGTGCAGGAGGCAGCTGATCGGTGTTTCTCTCTCATCGATGTTTCTGGCTCTCTGTTCCTCTCCCTTCCTCTCTGTAAAAAATCAATAAAATATATTTAAAAAAAAAAAGAAAAGAAAGAAACCAAAACTTAGAATGGTGGCCTCCTAAATCATGTGACTTAGAATGACGGCCATCTCTCAAAATGGCTGCTCGTAAGCTAAGGAACTTCCTTCTTTGACAGAAAAGATTACGGGTTGATTCTCATAATTCTCACAATTCCCCCTTTTTTCTTATTTAACTGATTTCACTCTTTTCTTCTAATTCGGTCCGCATTAGTTGATTTTCATGTTCTGCAGTGTCTAGGAGAAGGAGATTGTTTTGTTGGTATGATACTGGGGTCTGTTTGGTCAATGTGGTTTCAATTAACCCTTTGGGATAAGACCTCTCATACATGGGATGATACAACATCCCATTACTGTCATAACTCCTAACACGGTTATCAAAGAGGTGAATATGGATACCATCATTCCTTTCCACTTCCCAAACCATTGCTCTAGTAAATCAGAGAAAGGATCCTCAACCCCAGGATTCTCAGCTAACTCATTAGCTAAAGTTGTTAATCCCTATAGGGCCTTAGTGATGGTTCCATCTGGAGCTGTGTTGTTAGAGATGAATGTACAACATTGCCCCCCCCCTCCCCATCATTACACAAACTCCCCCTTTTTCTGCCAGAATCATATCCAAGGCCAACCTATTCTCCCAGGTCATTCTGCTGGTAGCATCTAGTTTTTCAGCTGTACCTTTAAATGCATCTCAAGGAAAGTTGACAAACCTCTGTTGATTTTAATAAATATAATTAATCCAATCTACATTTTTGTTGACAGTGGACCACCAGAACAGGACAGATTCAAACCCTGCAGCAATTTGATTTCTAGACTTAAACTCATTGGCACTCTTCTTGGAACCCCAATGGAATCTATGTAAATACTAAAGGCCCGATGCATGAAGTTGGTGCAAGGGGCTCAGCCGCCGCCACCACGGCAGCTGCCTCTGCCTTGGCCCCCGCTGCTGCAGCAGCTTCGTCTGGAAGGTTGTCGGTCTAATTAGCAAATTACGCTTTTTATAATTATAGATGGGGATTAAAAGAGCCCTCTGAACTCTCTCTTTTCTTCCTAGTCTGTCTGTCCATTGAAAAAGGCTAATGGTATGCCAAAGTGAAAGGGATAGACAATTGTATCAGAGCACAAGTTCCACTCCAGTGGCTAGGCAAGGCCGCAAGTAATGGTCCCCAGCAATACCACCAGACATCAGCACGGGTTATTGACAGAGCAGAATGATTGGCTTCTGAGGATCCTCGACCATTTACATATCCAAATAAATTTCCCATGAACTCCGAATACTGTTCCCTCTCTACCTTGAGAGGCAGGAGGTATAATTTACTTCAGAAGATGAGGGCTGGATCATTTTGGGGAACCCTTGCTCTTTACCTCTGTTGGATGGGAACAATAGGGAGTCTTACAGGAAGTGTTTCCCCAGGTGGTTTCCTCCTGATACAAGGCAAGCATACATTCCATCCCGTTACTGTCTGAGGCCTATCCAAATGGAAATGGGACCACTTGGGCCTCTGGCCTTCCTGCCGAAAAAGCGTAACAGTTGCTTTTATGTAGGGGGCATACAGTATATTTAATCCATTCCACCCAGGCATTCATTTCCTTATATCCTTCTTCTATTTGCAAAGTTTGTCTTGAATCCTCAACTCAATTAGGGTCTCTTTTGTAGGATCATTTTGTGGTACAAAGGGATTTTCCCCCAGCTTAGAGGTAGAACTAGTCATGGTGGTGGCAGTGATGATGTCCTTGGGTGGGGCTACCAGTCTCAGAGCAAACCTCCCTTGGGGATCTTGTTCTGTGACATCTACTCATAAATCTAGTCCTAGCCAATCTTTTGGCCTAGAGGCTGAAATATTCAAGTCATTCAAGTTATTTATAGTGAAGAACAAGGGATTACACTGTAAGTTCTGGCAAGCATGGGGAGGGGTACCTCTATATAGATGTATTCTAGCCTTTAGTTGACTAAACTTTTTATCTGCTGGTCAGGATATAGCCATCCAGCCTTGGTAGGGTGGTCCACCATACATCATTCCAGGTAGGACAAGGGGATAGACCAGTGGTCGGCAAACTGTGGCTCGTGAGCCACATGTGGCTCTTTGGCCCCTTGAGTGTGGCTCTTCCACAAAATACCACGTGCGGGTGCGCACGTACAGTGCGATTGAAACTTTGTGGCCCATGCGCAAAAGTCGGTATTTTGTGGGAAGAGCCAACACTCAAGGGGGCCAAAAGAACCACATGGTGGTTTTGGGGAGCCGGAGTTTTGCCCACCCGGGTGAAAACACCTTTTCTCCCCTCCCGGGGGGGGTATCGGAGACCCTTTTAAAAGGAAAAAAGGGCCTTTTAGCTGCCTTTGATGGTTTGGCAGGCATCAAATTGAAGGGTTATGGGCTTATCTCCTTGGTCACATTAATCAATAACTTAACTGGGTAAGCATGATCCAGATTGTATACATTTCCCCAGCCCACATTGTAAGCCCTTGCAATTTTCCAGAGCCCTAAAGCAAATAGAATCTAGTACATGATGGCCATTAAGACATCTAACAGTTGCTTTAGTGTTAATTTCAAGGGACTATGTCCTGGTATGGCTGAAAAGTTGAGGTGTCTCTACCCTGAGAGGTTGGTGGTACACTCTTAACCCGGGTGTGATAGGGTCCAACCTCATTCTGCAGGCGGAAAAGTGGTCTCAGGGGTAAGCAAGACAAGATAGGGTCCTTCCCAGGAGGGTTCCAACTTGTTTTTCTTCTAAGTCTTGATTAGAACATAGTCTCTCAGTTAATGGTGATGAACCAGAAACTCATGAGGAGGGTTTTGGGCTAGGAGGCCTTTTAACCTGAGAGATTAGAGTAGAGGAGTTACCCAGTACATAGTTCTTAAGAAATTAATCTTTAGTCTCCATTGTAGGAAGATCTTGAGGCCTTCCTAAGTAGGGAAGGCCATACAACATCTCATAAGGGGATAGCCCTACATCCTTCCTTGGAGCTGTTCTAATCCAGAGAAGTGCAACAGGGAGACATTTAGTCCCGGGGAGCTTTGTTTCCAGCATCAGTTTGGTGATCTGTCTCTTTACAGTTTGGTTCATTCTTTCTACCCTTCCCAAAGAAGGGGGGTACGAGGGGATATGACATTCCCATCTTATATCTAACCCATAATATCCTTAATAATGGTGATAGTAAAGTGGATCCCGTTATCAGAATCTATATTTTAATGGCTTCAATCCAATTTGTCAAGTGATCTACTATCACCAGTAGGTATTTTTGTCTTTCTACTTTGGGCATTTCTGTATAATCCACCTGGATGCTTTGGAAGGATCTGAGCCGGGGAGGTCTTCCCCCTGGGAGTTGCTTCCTCAGGCCTGTTTATTAACCTTTCTGCAAGTAATGCAGCCCTCTTGGACCTGTTTTGCCACTGTCCTTAGAATGACATCGCACATAGCTTGTGGCCCCCTATGGGTCCCTTTGTGAAGGAGGGTCTTAAGTTCTCTAATCATTTCCCTTCCATCAGGCAATTTCCATTTTTCTTCTTTATCATTCACAGCTCCTGTTGGAGACCAGGTGTAAGCTGACACGGTCCTTGCACCTGAAGGGGCTACCAAGGCTGGGACCCTTACCCACACAGTTTTCCCAGACTTGTTTGGATGGCGGTTATCAGTAGAATGAGAGCAACCTTTGTAGAATGAGAACAGCCTTTCATGGCTTATCAAGAAGTCTGTAACTATTTACTGAGATTTGCTGTACCAAGAATTTGTCCTTCCGCTCTGTCTCTCCCTTAGAGATTAAGAGGAACAAAGAATACATTCCTCTTGACAGACCTCCTATTCAGTGTTTTGTGTATAAAAGGCATTGCGTGGTTAATAAACTTACTGCAGTTCCTCGATTGATCTGTAGTCCTCCAGATCCCGCTCTCCTGTCTTTCTTTCTTTTCTCAATTCCCACCTCCCTACCTCAGCCCAGTTCAACCTGTCAGGCTGGCTCTGACAAGCTCCCATCTGTATTAATTGTCTCTTCCTCCATGCTAAACTTTGGAATAACTTCAAGGAGTAGCAGGACTGGGACCAGAGTTAATATAGGAGTTTCAGATTGTCGCGCTGCCTCTTTAGCAGCCTCATCCGCCAACCTATTTTCCCCAGGCTTCCAGGGTCCCCCCTTTTGATGACCCGGTGTGTAGACAATAGCAATTTCTTCTTGCATCATCAGGTTGTCCAGTACTTGAGTTATTAATTTCAGACCATCCTTTGTGGTTACTTTAGGTCCCTTTTTGAGTTTGCAAGGCCACCACACAGGCCTTCCCTGAGCTAGTCAGGTTAGCATATGGCCCCTTTTGTCCACACTTATCAGGCTACCACCTAGTGATGTAGAAATGTAGAAAATTCATAGTCTCTCTACAAGAGACCAAACAAAAACCATAAACAAGCACTAATGGTTAAGACAGATGCACAGGAACAGATTAGAACTAAAATTTTAGGTGTTTGGGTTTTTTTTCCATCTCACCTAGAATAAAATTCATTTGGGTTGGGGAAGAATATTTCCTTAGGTCAGAATGGTAGAGTTTCTAAAATGTACAGGGTGTGGTTATGTTTCTATTTTTAGGCTCACAATGCCTTGCCCCAGCACCTTGCCTTGCCCCAGCACCTTGCCTTGCCCCAGCACCATGCCTTGCCCCAGCACCATGCCTTGCCCCAGCACCTTGTCTAAACACTTAAGCACTAATAGAAAAACTCAGACCCCCTTCCACATATCCGTGAGACTGAAGGCAAACCTGAAAGGAAACCAGCAACACAGTACCCATTTTCCTTACCATAAATTTATAAATTTGTAACACTAAATCTGAATTTTGATAACTCCTTTTGGAATAGGCAGAGGCCTACCTTAGCTCTATTACTAAGAGTGATATTTAAATGTATTTAAGAACAGAAGACATTGGCTTATTGTCTGTTAACTATGCATGTACTTCAAATGAACAAAACTTTAATATTAAATCATTTATTTATTAAATTTATTATTAAATTAAATTTTAATTGATTTAATAATTTATTTAATTTATGAACTATTTTTATATAAAAATGTATACTCATGGATTTAAACAAATGACAGTATAGAAACAGGGTGAAAAGTAAAAACTACTCATTTCTTCTCTATTTATTTTCCAGTGTAACTTCAGCTAATGGTTCCTTCTATACTTTAAATTATTTGACGTTTCTTTAATTCAGGCTAGCATATCTCTTTGATTTAAAATAATTTATTCCGTTTTTACTGGGTTATACCTAATGCAGATATCGAAGAAGTGAAACACAGCTAGTATTTAGATTCTTATCCAAAGAACACCTTAACTATAAGGCTTCAGAGGTAAAAGTAGGACTTGTTATAGTTTAGGTTCCTCAGGAAGCTTCACTCAGGCCCTGGCTCCATCTCAGAGTTCTCCCCACCAGTCCACTGAACCCTTCCCAGAGAGAGATTTGCAAATGAACAGCTGACTATGCCATCTGGCCTTCAACTAAGGAGAAGGCTTTGCAATCTCCCAGCCTACTTTCTCCTTTCTGGCTTCCATTCCCCTCACTTGCCTTCCATCCCCTCACCCTGCACCATGCTTTGGACATACCAAGCTCCTTGTGGTTCACAAAATATAGTGCCCTTTCCAGCCATGTTCTTTTCCAAGCTGTGTGGATGACTAGTAGTCGAGTTTCTTCATTGCCTGGAAATCCCTAGTCCCTCCTCCTTGACCAGCTGACAATGTTCTCCTCTGTGCTTTGCTCAACCCATGAGTGTCCCTGTATCATCCATTCCTGGTTTTCCTGACCTCTGTCAGCTCCTCATGCCCAGACATCCTGAGGTGCACTTGCTCTTAGGAGTTCTTTAAAGACTAGGGGATAACAGCTCTTCTTGCCAGCCACACCTCTCCCCACAGTCCTTAGATCTCTAAGACAGGATACATCTGGAGCTTCTTTTTCTCAAAACCTCAAGTGGCCCAGGTGGATAGCTTCTGGCAGGTGCATCTGGTATCTGGGTAGGGTGATGTTACTTGTTTAAAAGCTATCCCACCCTGATTACCTTTCCCAATGTCTTACCTCAGAAGCCTAAGTGTTCCGGGATTAAGGTACCCTCCTATATGCACACTGTGGGAAAGTTCCTTCCAGGTGAAGTAATCAACCACTAGAAATAACACCTTCAAAAACAAAATTAATCTCCCAAAATCTATATATATAAAAAGCCAGCGACCGGAACTCTGTATTAACCATAACGACCAGTTGCTATGATGCCCACTGTGGCCAGCGAACCAGCCCAATCGAGGGTGGGGCAGCCAGCCAACCCCCCCACAGCCCCTCCCCCCAGCTGGCCCTGCCCCTGATCACCCCCCACCCCAATAGGGGGCGGGCCCAGCTAGCCAACCTCCTGCAGCCCCTCCCCCTGGCTGTCCCAACCCTGATGGACCCCCACTACCCGATTGGCTTCAGCCCTCTCCCTGGCTGTCCCTCCGTTGATTTCCCCCCCCCCACTCA